GTATTCTGGAACTTATAATCCGTGCCACTTCCACTGTATTAATCCCCAGAATATTCAGACACCAGTTAAACCAGTTAACATTTATATTGATACAGTACCCGTAACCAACATAAATCTTGTCTACATTTATTGTTCTTAAGCTTCAGTACTCTTACTCAACTTATCCACAGTATTCATAGCCTTGCTGAATATTCCCATTAACAATACCTGTTAATCTTCAACTAATTTTGTTAAAGCTTAATAAGTATTGTTAGCCCATTCCCTTTGGGGAATAACCAAATCAATCCCAGGTGAGTCTTAGTACCCTGGATGCCTATTAATACCTTGTATTGATCCGGATGCGCTGTTGATAGCAAGCCTCTCAGTAAAGACCATACTGATAGAGTGAAACCTCCTCTTTACAGGACTGGTATTAATCACCCACTACCTAACACTCACCACGCTCAAAAAACTTCAGTCAACTCATAGTAACAACCTTTTTACTATTAAATACTCAGGTTAGTTACCCAGAGGCTGACATCGCCAGTGATGGCGGTTCTTCTTGCAGGTAGCCATACAGTTGTTAAGGTTGAGTGAACGCCGATCACGGAGTTGTTAGCTGATGGGCGGATAACAGAGGAGCGGATAGCGGATTGGGTTACTAGAGGGGTTACCAACCCAGTTTTTTTTGGGCTAGGCTAGCTGTAAGGGTATCGAGACAAGGAGAGAGTATAAGACACCACGGGAGTTTGCTTGGCACCTGCTTACAAGTGCCATCGTGGAACTTCGTCATAGATCTGGTTAGATGTCTGTTAGATGCTGGTTAGAATATGTGTGGATGTTTACGACAACTTGTCCTGATATAACCCAGAATGACAGTTGATGTATTGTGTAATGCATGAGTAGAATGTACATTATGACAATGCTGAAACTAAGTTCAACTTAACAATACACAGTTGGTGAACCAAATCTTTGGCCTAATATCTTGGCTATTATCAACTGTGATATGGATGTGGACCATGGCCTTGGGAATTTTCTCAGTTCAACGGGCTACTAGTTAAAAGGTAGCGTGTGAGTCAAACAAGCCCTTGCCAATTCTTATATCATTCCCATGTAAGAACAGCTTACAAAGTTAGCATGGACCAGGTCATCTAAGCTTTTGGTATCAGCTACATATGACCGAGTATGTGATGTTGACCAAATGCTGAACTTGTTTGGTCAGATTTATTTTTGGAACAAATAAATCAGTTAGCATGTTGGCTGGCTCGATTGGATAAGTGCTGATGTTTGTTAACTTTCAAGCTTAAATCACTACCTCATGTCATGCCCTGCAGCCAATGTGAGTGAGTAAAATTAAGCCCAGAGCATTGTTTATTAAGATGTTGCAAAGGGCATTTCAAAAATTTGAGAAGTTATAGATAACAGGAAGGCAACAAATAAAAACAGAAAGTCCCTGTTCCAATCCCCACATTATTCACAACCCCAGTTAGATCTACTCATTTTTCAATAAAAGATGTCAAACATAGTATGCCTTGGTCAATTTGTGATACCTATACGTTCTCCTACCTCCGAAACCCTTCCCGATCAGCCACAGCAAGCCTTCCTTCAGCAAGGGACAGCCCGAGTGCATGTGTGGTGTGCCCCGAGACAAATGGTTGGAGATCTCAGTCAAGTTCAAAGCAATTTCCTCGGTCCAATGCTAGGTCCAGTGGGCAGCTGCTCAACACCAATAACCAAAGAAGGAATCAACTCATCCGAACAGTCTCTGATAAAGATCCGGGCTTTTGTTATTACTAAAATCTGTAAGGATCCTCAACTCAGGGGTTGCATCTTTGGTCTCGCTTCGAACAAGGACTCCATTTCATCTGCTTTCTCAAAGGCACAAATCACTCTCTCTCCCATCTGGAACTACGATCCTAGCCTCTTTTTCAATATCCCTCAAATGTCTGTTACACCAACCCTCACTAGTACTCCAGAAGAGGATGATTCTTCTCGGTCCGTTCTCAGAAACTGTGTAACCACCTTGAAAGACCATCAATACACAGCTCTAAAATTCCTGAAGAGAAACGAGTCTACCGAACGAAACACAATTGAAGACCTGTGGAACCACCCCATGAATAGTTGGATACGACGATCTAGTAACCCTTCTGACCTACGACTTGAAGAAACAGACCAATTTACTAGCCGAGGATCCATACTTGCTGATGACATGGGCTTAGGAAAAACGTTAACCAGCCTTGCGTTAGTTCTGGCAACCTCTAATTCGGCAAAACACTTCCAGACAAGCGGCTTCGGCAATCATCTACTTCAATCTTCAGCCACTCTGATTATTTGTCCGTTAGCAACCTTGTCAAACTGGGAAAATGAGATCAAGATCCACTTTTCCCGGGGAGCCTTAACTTACTGTGTCTTTCATGGAAGAGATCGAGGAAGAATCGATAGAGAACGTCTATTGTCATCACTTATTGTCTTGACAACCTACGAGATGGTTGGAACGTCTGGAAACCCACTGCATACGAATCAAATCACGATCGAATCATTGGATATCTGTTGGTTCAGAATCGTGTTAGATGAAGCTCAGTAAGTTACCATAACTGTTGTATATGTATTTATTCATGAGTTGAAAAAGCTGACTTTAACGTACATGCAGTATGATCCGCAATCCAAATGCCAACAGGACTTTAAACATTCAAAAGTTGAAATCAAAGTTTGTCTTGTGCCTGACCAGGACACCATTCCAAAACAGACTCACAGACGTGCAAAGTTTGATATTGCTCCTGAAGATCTGGCCATGGAATAAGGAGTGGATCTGGAAGAAGCACCTCATACCTGGAATGAACGTTGGATCCCAAGAAGCAATCACAACTTTGAACCTGTTGATGGAAACCGTATGCTTGAGGAGGACAAAGGACGTGCTCTTGAATCTACCTTCCAAGGTAGAAAAAGTGGTAGTTGTAAGCTTGGGTGCACCATGGGATGCTCTCTTAACGGAATTTCACCAATCTTTCATCCAGTGTTTTGGAAGACTTTGAATATCTGGCGAGGTGTGGGATTCGACAGAATTTTTCCGACAGCTCACCATGATACGGCAGTTCTGTAATCATCCAATTTTTGCACGTAACAAAATTCACTTTCCATGGAGTTGGCGATGGCAAGACTCTGCCAAGTTGGTTCACCTGGTGGAGAACCTGAAACAATTCTTGCGGGGTGGAAGGGGGATTGAAAGTCCCAAAGCAGTAGTATTCTCAATCTTTGTGGCGTTTCTTGAAATGTGAGTAATAAACTTCATTGTATATTTTTTCAAAGATTCTGAATAAAGACTGATGAGGTATGGCATTGTGAAGAATTGAAAAAGCACTCAAAGAGAAAGATATGGGTTCAACATGGCTTATAGGGACCTTAGGTATAGGGAAACGAGATGAGAACCTGGCTCAATTTCGATCAGATCCCCACTGCAATGTTCTTCTAGGCTCAATACAAGCAGCGGGGGTAGGAATTGATTTGAGGTGTGCTCAGAATGTGTACATGATGGTAAGGAGGAAGCCATCTTTTTTAGAATTACACAAGCTGATAAAAATTGTGATCTTAAAGGAACCAAATTGGAATCCAGCCATGGAAAATCAAGCTATGGATCGTCTTTATCGCCTTGGCCAAACAAACGAGGTTCATGTCTATCGATACTATGTACAAGGGAGTTTGGAAATGAATATACACCAAGTGAAAAGTAGGAAAGGGGAATTGGCAATGTACGAATTTCTCAGTATTTCTATATCCTTATATGTGGTAAATGGCTGACTTGTTAGGTGGGACTTACATGACTTGGAATCTCAGGCTGAGTGTACCATCGAATGGAAATGACGATTATGAGAGTGCACAGTTTCTTATGAGCAACATGTTGAATTAGTATGAAATGAAAAGACAATGTACTTACAGGACACTTTAGTTGAGGACAACAGCTTAGGAAAATCTATGGGTGGTTTGAGATCGAGAAGTTTGACATCGATCTCAGACAACATGGTCAGGTATTCGTCTGCATAGCAGTTTCTGGGTAAGCCGCGTGGAACATTGCGAAGAGATATTGAGGCAGAGAATGTTGAGGTGGCTCGCTTATTTTCAAGACTGAATGAATTTAAAAATTGGCGTCCTTGGGTATTGTGTGTTTTTTGGATCTGGATCTCATCGAGTTGGCGGGCCAGGGTGTTAAAGTCTGTTGAACGCCAGGGGAGTGGAATTCTCTTGATAATTTTACCTGGGAGAGCCTCGGTCTCAGAGCTACATTTGATGTTATCGAAGAGTTCCATCTCGCTGAGGGATAGAGAGAGTTTTGAGAGGGTCTCCTGTCTGTGTTTCTGCAGCTGCAAGTGAGTGTGATGGGTTGTTTCAGTAAAAGCTTTGTTTGAGTTGACTATTGAAAACAATCTCACTTGTAATCGGAATTTGGATCTTTTTTCAGATTGCTTCTTTTCATCTCTACGTTTTTCAGAAAAACGTCCCAACCGAAGTCCATCCTTTCGTCCAAGAAACCACCTATGTAGAATACCTTTGCGCAGGGTCTCGTCAGAAGTATGGGTCGGATCGATGTGAAATGCTTTGAATGCACCAGCCTGGGAGGCATTATTCCAGTGTTTGAGGATGAATTTTGAGAGCAGCTGATTCCATTGGATTTCCCAGGGTTGGTCCCAGGCAAAAGTGCAACCGGGGAAGTTGGATTTTTCTAGATCACAAAGGAAGATTACTCTGTATACCGCAGGGATTTTTTGAGAAGGCTGGGTGAGGGCTGTTTGTGGGATGGGATCGATTGGATGAAGTAGAATAGAGTCGGGAAGTGAGGAAGCCAAATCCAGATCGTCTTGAGAGGGAGTCTGCTTCCATTTTTCTGATGGTATTTTAAGATTCAGCTCAAACAGTGTCTGAGTTAGGGAATACACACTACGGGAGAGAGGTGAATTTGAATCAGGAAGGATGGTTGAATATAGACTGTTGAGTTTGCGCCCCCTATGTGTGTGTATGTAAATGTGTGTGTATGTAAATATGAGGCTGTACTGTACTGAGGGTGTCTGTGTAGCTTGAGGGTTGTAATGGTGATTGGTGACATGTAATTGATGGGTGAAGTATGTGTGATATGTTGTCCATTGTGGGATAAGTGTTGATCCAGGTGTATTCCAGTGACGCCTCCGTGGTGACCAAGGGTGAATTTGTCCGTAGAGTCCAGTTCATGAGCTGTATGGTATTAATTCTGAGAGAGATTGGGTGATAATATGAAGAAAATATATGTATAAGAAAAGAAAGAAAAAAACTTTTAATTCTTCACATTTTTGACTACCACAGCGTACGTTTGTGTGACACATGTATTGAAAGCGCTGTTAGATGGGAGTTTAGACAAACAAAGCGTGGGACGAGTGGTATCACCAGATGTGTGGCTTTGTGTGGTCCAACAAGGGGTATGCAATCTTATTGAAATTGGCATGCATTCAAAATGTCCGCGGCTTCCCTGATGCACCATATGTCCAAAGTGTGTTCTCGGTACATGAGCTATGACATGTTATACCCTGGATGTTATTCACCAGCCCACCCAAAACCCAAGTTGGTCTGATTAATTTCCACATGAGGATAAAGTTTCAGTGAGGAAAACACCAGTTTACATAAAATTCATGTATACCGAAGATATGCCACAAGGAGCAGAGGGGGTAGTAAAAGGGAAGACAAACTACTCGATTCACTGGGCACTATTTGGAGTGATATGTCAAAGAGACCAGAACTTGAGATATATTGAATCTAGCAACACACAAGATCTTGCAGCGCTCTGTCATGTGGGGCTTTGGCAAAGGGAACAACAAATAAGCAGAAATCAACCGGTGTAGGTTTGCGTCACAACTAGATAGGAATCCTAAGACCAGATGTAATCTGTCAAATCAGGCATGGTCAGTACGTCCTAGACCAGCTGAATCAATTCAAAACACTGACATACCGGGGATCACTTTTGGAAAGCACCAATCATGGGTGCTGAAACTTCAACATTTTGAAACCCAGTTGGGATCTAAACAATCGGTCCTGAAAAAAATGATCGGAAGGGGGGTCAGAATTTGATCTGAGAAAATGGTTAATTGGTACACTGCATACCTAGTCCAAGCCTGGTTCGATGGGTATTCCAGCTAGCCATCACATTGGGGACAGCGGCAAGGGGAATTCGTAGGTCAATTGCACCACTATCAATCTTTCCTTGGACCACAATGTGTCCTCTCCAACCGGACGTGTCGTGGGTGGGTGAGCTGGTGGGGGCTGGATGTTCGAGTTCTTGCACAACTCTGTCGACCCAAAGTTGCTTATCTTTGAGCCAACTCAATTGGAGGGGAGTAAAGATGAAAATTGAACTTGGAAGGCGAGTATCGGACATCTCTCTGATTGTTTCAACTACTAATAACGGTATGTAAATATGAGTTTTCTGGTAGGAACACAAAACTTTTCTTGAAAGGGAGCTCTATATATGTGTGATGGTGCCATTGTCTTTAAGGTGACGGCAAGCGGAATTTCCAAGGAACAGGGACCAGCCCCCTGTATTCAGTTACTTGGTTATCTCAACTGAATATGTGTGGTTCAACACCAGCTGTTAAGATGGATGTTTGAGACACATCTTCTGCAGCAGACGAAGAAAATTTATCACGCATGACTGAATTGATCCCATTCATATGACCAAACTTGTCTCGAGTAGGAGATGGAAAGAATCCATACTTCAATTCAACCCCTTTCATTAAATCAAGCATGTGTTGAAGAAAACACAAACCAATGCATGTGATACTGTGTCATATATTTGGCCAAACGAAGTATTGCAGCCGGACTCCCTGTGATTTGGAGGCATGATTGACCGGAAATCCCCTATTTGAAGCACTTCGCTTTTATCAATCAAGGATTAACCTTTTTCATTACCTCCACGTCTTTCAATCACCAATCCCCCAAGCCTAACCCATAATCATCCCTGCAACATCACCAACATGAATCCATATGTTTGTACATGTGAAAATCACTCCTGTCACAGAGCAAATCATATGGTGGAGGGGAAGGGCCTGGTACGTGGAAGAGTATTGTCAAGGCAGGTGTACCAAGAGGACCAGAGGAAGGAAGCACAAAGGTTGCAGAGGGAGAGACAAGTGCAGTCAGAGAAACCCAAAGAAACCTCGAATCCTATTGAAGTAAGTAAGCCATAGTTTGTCAATGTATGTTGTTGTGGTAGCTTACAAGAAGGTTTTTAGTCTGCTGTAACAGTTTTTATATCCAATCAAGCGGCACAAGGACGGCCCCTGTTTTTGGAGGAAGACTTTTGTATGCAGGTGATGATTCAAATGACCAAGTCCGTCTTCAGTGGTAAAATGAGCAAAGAAGCAGCCAAATACTTCCTTTCATCAGCACGTGAAAATGTAGTCCTTCTGGCAAATACATGGGGATCACTGCATGGGATCACCATAGATTTGACCCGTATAGTTCAACAGATACCAATCACTAGTGGAGCAGTTTTTCATCAGCTTGGACTTAAGCCGGATCTGACCTCTCAATTGTGTTGCGCAAAATGCTTTGCATTGTATCCACATGATTCAACGGAAACTAGATGCACACAACGGTTTCTTTCAAAGTATCGGACGTTTGAGAAGTGGACCAAGTCACAAGATAAGGTGCCGAAATGTGAACAAGATCTATGGCGTACTAACTCCAAGGGACAGAAGAAGCCGGTCCGAACATTCAATTACGTGACATTGGAAGCATGGTTGAAGAATAGACTTTTAAAGAAGCATGGTTGAAGAATAGACTTTTAAATCAAAAATTCGAAACTTTGCTAGAGTCCAGTTTGGCTGCAGTGAACCGTACATCTGATCAGGCCATGGAAGATGTGTGGCATGGACGAGTCTGGCAAGAATTTCTCAACAACGACCGAGGAGAAGGAATATTTACCAGTAGCTCTGGAAATCTGGTGTTTAGCCTTTACCTTGACTGGTTTAATGCTGGTGGAACATCAAACCTCGGTAAAAAGAACTCTTTGGGGGCTATTACACTAGTTTGCTTGAACCTACCTCCAACTGAGCGCTATAAGGTTGAAAACATCTTTCTTTTTGGGGTTATTCCTGGGCCCAAGGAACCTAGTTTGGAAGAAATAAACCATCTTTTGCGGCCTCTAGTTCAGGAGCTTCAATTTTTTTGGTCAACTGGTTGCTTTTTCAAGTCAACTTCAGCTCACCCCAACGGACGTACAATCAGAGTTGCAGTCTTTCCCCTCATTGCAGACCTCCCCGCTCTCCGAAAGGCAGCCGGATTTGGAGGACACCAGGCAACCCTATTCTGCTCTTTTTGCCTTTTGGATCAGAAGGACATTGAAGAGACAGACAAATCCAAGTTTCCACTCCGCACACATGCTGATCACCTTGCCCATGCCACCGAATGGCTAGAAAGTAACAGCTGCCCCGACAGGGATGGATTGGTGAAGAAGTATGGTGCAAGATGGAGTGTGCTGAATGAGCTCACATACTGGCGTCCGATTGAACATTCCTCAATTGAGTTAATGCATGCATTAGCTCTTGGTGATCTGAAAGACCATAGTATGCGTTTTTTAGCTCTGCCAACGGTTGGCGAAGAACTTGGAAAGAAGAAAACAAAGGATGAAGCATGGCAGAATGATCAGTCGTACACGGAAACTCCCTACACTGACACATATGGGCCAAAACCAAAGGAATACGTCAACATGGGAAAAGGCAAGAGGAAACGTGATTCCAATCTCCCCTGCTCACCTGAAGAAAAATCAAGTAAACGAATGCGTGTCCAAACAGATAACTCCATTTCAGCTCAGGGCCCAGGATCCAGCAGTAGCAAATCCGCATCTAACTCAAGTTCAAATGAAGATAAATCTGAAGATTCAAGCACATCATCAACCCACTCCTATAAACTTCGATTGAGAAAACAAACATTGTACAATATGAGTGAAACGGACCCAAGTGGGTCAGATGGGGAGTCTTGTGCCAGTGACCGAACTGCAAGACAAACAACAAAAGGGAAAATGCGTGAGCAGGAGGCTGAAAAACCTGGGTCTGGAATTAGGCTTACTGCAGAAGAGCTGGATGTTGTTAGAAGAACAATCATGCATACCACAGTGCCATCTTGGATGGACCGTGTGCCACGGAACTTGGGGGCAGCCAATCACGGATCCCTGAAGGCTGCAGAATGGTTGATCCTGTACAAATTATACTACCCTATCGCGTTGATTCCCCTGTGGACCAAACCGGACACTGGCATAGCAACAGAGGAAGAGAATAACCGAATATCTTCGCTACTTCAATCAACAACACTCTTATGCAAAGTCACACAGTTCCTGACTCTTCCAACTATCAAAACAAAGGATCTGGACGAGTTTGATGATCTGTTGGTGACCTACCGTAAATGCCTGCAAGAGAATTGGCCAGAAGAACCCAGTCGTCCAAACCTGCACCTGACACAACATTACCCTGAAGTCATCCGGAGATTGGGCCCACCTCGATCTACAGCAGCATGGGCCCAAGAGCGGATGAATGGAATACTTCAGAACTTCCAACGAATCATCATCCAGGTATGTGCTGCAATTCATCATGTCAATTTAGCAAATTTAGCACCCCACTTACCAAATAACTATAAACCTCTACAGACCAGATCCCCAAGACAATATTGAAAGAATGGCATATCAATTCAATCTTCAAACTTCTTCTTAATAGCCAATCTACAAATATCAACATACATGATTCTGTGCACAAGTCCAACACATTTGAACTGGACGAGCCACTGTTCATTAAGTGGAAGCGTGCTGTGACTGGCAAATCAAAGTCAAGGGGGAAGCTGGGCCATGATGAGCACCCTCTGAACCGCACTGTTGTTGCAGAAAAGGCTATCGAAATCAACCGGAAACGCTTTACCACCTGCAAGAGCCACCAAGGGAATAGTTTGGTGGAGTTTTTCTTGGGAAAGGACCAAAGATTTGGCGAGATCGAATCTATATTTATATCCAAACAAACCGCGGGAAAAACTTGGATGATTGTGAAACCTTTTGAAGAGGTACAAAGGAATGAAGATCCATACCGCGATTATCCTGATCTTAACTGCCGGCTGATCCAGGCCAACTATGAGGCCGCGGTAGTGATTGAAACGAGTTCAATAATCGGACATGCTGCAATTCTGAAACACCAAAAGGGTACATTTGGAATCCCAATTGATACTATCAGTGCTGTTGGGTTGGGAACATCGGTAAGCACACATTCACATTCAACTGATTTGATACAGTGCTTACCATCAATTCTCTTTGTCTTGATGTAGGGTTGGGAGGGTCTTTGATTTATGTAAAAGTGGAGACCATGGAACATGCACCAAATAATCCTCTTAATTGTTGAAAGGAAAGAATAACATGTGCAGGCCTGATTTCATCACAAAAATTGCCCGACAAGACAAGCTTGGTTGTACAGATTTTCAACTCATATTTTGTTCCTGTTCAAATGACCTTCATTCTTGCAACCAAAAAGAATTCCCCCCAAATTGCCTGAATTTATTCAATCCTTGTCTCCCTCCTCTAGAATCTTTTCGACTCCTTGTGCACTCCTCAAATATAGTTGTTCTTCATTCTGTGCGTCTTTATAATGTCAACCAACCTACCAGAAGATCCGACCAACAATTCTGCAGGGGGTAACGAAGGCGGAAATGAAGGTGAAGGTGGCACTGGTGCCCCAACGGGAGGAAACCAAGGCAATCAATCGGAAACGCCCCTATCTGCAGAGGAAGCAGTAATTGCCTTTGTGGTTTCCAGTCTGATCCCCAAGTTTCAAGAGCAGGCTAGCAGCACTCCAATGGAGACAGATGAAAGCGCACCAGCTGGAGGTTAGTTAAAGACTACATCTTCTATTTAAAGTTGGCTTCAACCATGGTATTGACGTGTATGTTTTAGATGGCTCTGATAATCAACAAAACGAACCACCAAAAGTGCCAAAGGAACCACAGTTGACAGCTAAGTTTGTTGCGAGGCAAGCCCAGGTGGACAAGGCTGGTGAGGAAGAAGCCGCGGCAAAGAAAAGAGTCGAGCGCCGGGTGAGGGGCATGGCTCAACGAAATACGACCGTCAGCCATTTCGAACCATATTCCAGAGGGGTTCAATCTTTTCTTAAACATTTTCTTGGCGGTCCTGAAAAGCCGCACGATTACCCCCCACCCCCCTCTGAAGAGGAGAAGGAAGCGCAGTATTGGATCGAGAAGCGGACTGAGTTCATTTTGAAGCAGCTGGATGTGATCCGGCACTCTCTTTGTGACAAACCTCCTGCAGAACAAGACTACTTTGTCTCCCGTGCTGAATCTGAGATTCGCAAAAGCATCAAAGCACCACCCTTCACCCCTGCTCCTAAAAAGGGGGAAACTCGAGGCAGCCGGACAATTAGCTCCCAAACAAAGGGATCGGTCGAAAGAGAGTTGGCAGCGGCAGGAATTTCCCGGATGACTTTTGATTGGACGGCAGCACCAGCGGACTCCTCGGCGTGGAACGTGGCGGTTGTAGATGTAATGGGAAAGAAATCAGTGGAATGGCTCCGTTTGTCAATGAAAATAACGGACGAAGAGGCAATCCAGGCACCGGCAATTATTCTCCGATGGCTCAACGGTAAATGTCGAGAGATTCGAGAATTTGGCAACGTGGAGGTGGGAGCCTATGATGCTAGTAAGAAGGCCAAGTTAGCAAAAGCCCAATATGCTCGGTGGCGCAAGAAAGTAAGTTCTTTTTCAATAGATAGGTGCAAAATATACCAACCCAATTGACACGTGATGTGTTTCCATGTCTGCAAGATTTGTGAAAATAGATGCAAGATGGCGGCAAAGGTGTACCCAAACAATCATCAACTCGCGTTTATCCTTGCAAACAAGGATTCTCACTCTGATATCGAAGATGCGGAAAAGGTGGGGGATCGCCCAGTTCGATGTGTGCCCGTATGGCGAAGCGACCCACTTTCTACTGTTGTGCACGGCCTTGACAAGATGGTGATGTCGCAGGCTACTCACCACAAGCAACGATCAGTCCACAAAGATATCTACGGACGTTCGAAATCCGTCTTCAGCAAGAAAAGCGGGATTGAGGGTGTGCCACGTAATCTTCCGGTGGATGCCTACGCGAAATCGTGGCGAGAGGGTTTGTGTAAATTTGATCAAGATACTGTATCCGAGGTCGGCCCCTTTTCAGTTATGGAGCTTGCTAAGGGGATGGATAAGCTGTTGACACTAGCTCCTCAGGAGGGAACGGCCCCAAACCGGGGGCCAACTCAGCAAGGATCTAGTGCCCAAGCGGGGCCAAGTGGGGAGAGGTCGATGAATATAGATTGATCAAGTTTGGTGTGCTGTGTGCTTGTTTTCTTGGGAGAAATAATGTTTCTCAACTTCGGTGGAATTATACCATATATGTTCTCTGAAAGTTGTGCATTGCATTAAGGTTGTGTTTTGTGCAACATAAATGTGTGGTTCACAACCTTGTGGTCGGCCAGTTCAAAAATTGGGAGAGGCCCAGCAGTGAGGGCAACTGCACTCATGTGTCACACAAACGTACGCGCGTACGTTTGTGTGACACATTTTTGAACAGGCAGCCTGGCAAGGACCAGGCAGATGCTGATGTGAGCATGGTACACAACGTGATAAAGTAACTATTCTCCTATTTTCTGCAACCGATGCTTTGCAAAAATGTTTGGGAAGCTTGTTTGGAGTCAGGGAGAACAGCAGGGGAAACGTGGTTTGGCCAGCAGTTGCCCTTGAGTTCCAACCTAGTTCTGCCTTACTTCTTCTTTTGGCTTGACCAAACATAAGACCTTTTCTCAAAAACAGCTGCCTGCCAATTGCAAGATCCCAGATCTGTTTTTTTTTTCTTTGTGGGGGATTTAGCGTGGAATAGCATGCTGGTGATATCAGCATGTCACCTTGTGAATCTACACTCGATAAACCAAGATTATGCTTAGCTCACCAAAAACTTAAACAAAGGATTATCTATGGCCTGTGTGATGTGATCATCCTTTGAAGTATAAACAGATTTGCTGTGGTCCAAACAGTAGATTGTGGGTGCACTAGGCTGAAAAAATTTTCACCGTGGGAATACTACACCTCCCTGACCAGTAAGCACGCCTATAAAAACACGCCTCCTCTCGTACTTCTTCCCCCTCCTCCCCTCATCCCACATCCAAAAATTATTCAATCCATCCATCCACAAATACCATCTTATCCTCTCACTTATTCTCCCAACCCCCCTCAACACTAGGCTGCATCCCATGGATCTTCCCTACTCTGGAAGTGATACATCTGAGAGCCACACCGATTCTGGAGACACAGTCCCCCACCGTTGTGATGGGACTCCTCCCGCAAGTATGTCCGACTTCTCCATCAATCCTTTACACTCAAACTAATGCTATTTGTCCAACATAGCCACCACTATCCTTGCCCAGAACTTCCAAATTGGTTCTGAAACTACTGCTCCGATTCACCATCCACCTTCCTTCCAAGAGTTTGCTCACAAAGCCAACAAAGCCACCTCATCCGCCCCACTAGTTCCCTCTGAGCCAGTACTCGACACCGAAATTCAACAAATCAGTGCTGATGAATTCAACCGAAACATGAAGGCAGCTGAGCAAGCCACCCGTGGTCTCCGTAATCTCAAACTCCCTCGGAGCCTGAAGGAAAAGGTCAAGTCACTGGAGAAGTCCCTTGTCAGCACCAAGAGAAGTAAGTCTCTTGCCATCTTTTCTATCCTGGTCTATAGAGTCTCATATTTATTGGCAAAAAATCAAATACACAGCTTGGGAAGAGACTGGCGAAATTCCCGATGACGAAGCCATCAAGATCCACCAAGGGCCCACATCTGCCCACTCTTCTTCAACCAAAACCTTTACCAAGAAGACCCCTCGAAAAAAGGTCAAACGTGACCCACCCACCAAACCTGTTGACTTACTCAACAAAGAGCTCCCCCATCCACCTGCCAATCCTTTGCCTAGTACAACCTCCAACAGACCCATGGACCAAACTGTGGCTACATCCCAATCGACCCCCAGTATTATTAGCGGTGCCCCTTGTGAGCCTGGGTCTCAATAGTGACAGCAGGACACAAGGTTTTTGGGGGGCACTTTTAAATGTATTTCTCAAGATAAAGGAAATACAAGTAAAAGTAGAAGAGAGGGAAGGAAGAGAAGGAAAAGAATAATATAATCTTTTTGTTCTTTGTTTATTTTCTGAAGAAGATTTATTTATGGCAGTCTTACTGTCCTTCTTGGATGGCTGCAGACAGTCTTATTGTCCTTAGTAGGATAGCTGTTATAAGCGGAGCTAACTCTGACGCCTCCAAATCAACAGAAACTGAAATTGGTATTGACACTGATAAATCAAGTCAACCACAATTTTTTAGATCAAAGATCAAGGCTCTTTAAAGGGAAACCTATGTAGTTTTCAGTTGTACTACCAAACAGGAAGAGAAGAGATAATAGAAGCTAAGGCTTGCTTTCTTTGATCAGGGCTTTGGGTTGAGGTGGAGTGAAGGGAAACTGAGAGAGACAGAGAAGAGAAACAAGCAGAAAGATGCTAGCTTAACTTATGAGAAGAGACTTACTAATGATACCAATGACACTGATTAGTGGGAAAGGTAGGAAAAGTGAGGTCCTTCTGGGTGATAAGTGTTTGCTTGATCTGGGTCTGGTTGTTGGTGTTCTGTGTTGGTCTGGAGTCTGAAAATCCTCTGGAAGCGGAATCAACAAGCTCAGAGAGGATTTTCAAAGTTGGATGACATAATCATTACATGTACATGTGGTTGGGAGAGATGGAATTCCAATTTGGTTGGTATTTCACAAGGTACGTTGAAATGTTACAAAGTCAATGAAGGAGAAGAGTAGTGTAAAACTGGTAAGTGGTGACTATGGTTAAAATTCAATGGGGATTTCATTTCTGAAGTCAGAATTTAATAAAATTATAGGATGAATAAGTTACGGTAGGAACATAGATGAAAAGGAGGACTTAAGCAGTCTTTTGCCAGCTTGGCTGGCTCCCTCAATCCA